AAATATTATACACAGAATGTTGAAATCGATTAAAATAATGTATACATTAAAGGCCTACTAATAATTCAGATATTCGGATGATAAACGCCTGCAACATCATCAATTGGACCTTAAAGGACGATCGGGTCCTTTTATTCAGATTGGCCTTATCATGTTTCAGAGCAACATATTTTTTGGTATTAAAGTAACACTTTATTAAAAACAATCAATGAATTTTGTTACTCAAACATCTTTATATTGATATTTTCAAGCCTATTAGATGACCTGAAGAAAAAGTGATCCAGAAGTCGTAGGCTTGCTGTACAATATATTATGGCGAAAGTAAATTTTGTCCGTCTCTGAATTTTAATAGTGTTACTGTAATAGAGCCTATTATTAAATATTGGAATGGTACCTTATAGATTTATAACCAGGTAGCAGAGCAGCTTAGCTCAGTTGGCTAAACTGGTGGTAGCCTCTGTGCGCGCTAAAACGTGGGGATCGCTAGGTCTCCGATTCAAATAAAATAAAATCATTCTTTATTCATCACTCAAAATGGGTTGAATTTTATAAAAGTAAAGGGTTCAAGCATAAAAATCTAAACAATCAACATTTAAACATTTTTCAACAAATAGACCCACATCACAATAACAGCAAAATGAAACAGGTTTAAAGGGCAAAAAGGCAACCAATATTAAAATTATAATTATTATTATTATTATTATTATTATTATTATTATTATTATTGTTGTTGTAATTATAATTATTGTAGTGAGATTATTCCATCGTTCCTGTTATAGCTACTCATTTTTAAGGTTTAATTTCAGCACTAGAGATATTCAGAGTACCCAGAGAGCATCTAAGCCCAACATTTTCGGGGCCCTTGGACGGGCCCTCGACTCACGTCAATTGAGTTATTTCCCGATCCTGTTAAATCTCAATCCTCTAGCTATCTCCAACTTGGCATGTATTCTATATAATACGCATACTTTATAAAACATAAATTAACCTAATTTTCTAATAAAGAAATTAAATAACATTAATTAAATGAAATATATTTAATGATATAAGCGTATTAGCTACCATCAACCGTAACACACAATTTGAAATAAAAGTAGGCGTATGACATAATTAATGTTGAAATATTGAATCCCAACACGATGGCGTGTATTTCAATACTTGGAGTATGTATTATACTTTCTTATCTGCGATTAATCAGTGGACCTTTCAGTAGTATCGTAGAAGAGAATCACTAATGGGCATTGATCTCCGAAGTACTGTAGAAGTACAGAAATAATAGTGTTTTTTTGTGGATGAAATATGGGTATATAGAACGATATATA